CATCTTCATCATTATCATCACCATCATCATCACCTTCAGCATGATCATCATTATTTTTTGTTATTTTTTCAAGGTGCATTCAGTATCGATGCTAGAGATATCATGGAAATATCCTCGGCCAATAGAAATGCTTCAGACAAAACTAACGATGCAAAGGATACTTCCAAAACACCGATAAAAAATGAAGAAACGAACGAGAAAGAAGACTCGCAAGACCAAAAGCAATTGAATACTGGTGTGACGAAAATTAATACCAGCGAGGTTGATATCAAAGGCATTGAAAATCAAAGCAGAGATCTACAAGATAACGTCACTGGTATGATGACAGCAGTGATAAACGATGGTTCATCACGTGATATTGGAATCACGTGTTCCGCTCGTGATAATCTCCCTGAAGAGGAAATGACGTTGAGTAAGCCAATAAATGACGCGACGTCGAGGAAATCTGTACCGGAAGTGAAGTGGAGTAAACCAGTACAGGGAGTGATGTTGACGCAACCAGAACAGAAAGGGATGTCGAGTAAATATATACAGGAAATGACGTCAAGGCCGTCTACATCAGGAGTGATTGGAGAAAAGCAAAAGAAGACAAGGAAAGTTAAAGCTTCGTCAATGAGTGACAAAGAGTTGAGAAAACAACTTAGGTTGAAAAAAGAGAAGAAAAGACGCAAAAAGAAAGGAAGTAAGTGGATTTCAGGAATTGTTAACGATATTCTTGGTGATTGCGTCTTGACGGTTACTGTTGCTTATATGACTGCTTTGATTTTTTTTTGCTAACACTTTGGTCGCTGCTGCTATTGTTTTTGCTGTTGTTGCTATTGTCACTGTTGCTATTGCTTTTGTTGTTGTTGCTGCTGCTATTGCAATATAGGCTTTGCACCATCACGTGATGGCAGCCATGTTAGATGGCAAGAACAATACAATCGTTTTACACGAGAAAGAATTCAATTCCCGAGAGCAAAGAGGGATTTTATTGTTCTACCGTCTAACCACAGGCAGTCCAAGCTGTATCATAGGTGCCGGCACAATGGTGCAAAGCCTCCATTGCTGCTGTTGTTGTTGGTGTTGGTGGTGGTGGTGGTGTTGTATCACATGCTGTTGTTGTTGTTGCTGCTGCAGTGTTGTTTTGTTATTGATGCATGTGCTGTTTTTGCATTCTTCTCTATATACATCGACATTTCTAACGAGAGTCTTACTTTAACAGAAATTGAAGGCCAAATTATTGATAACCTTGACTATCACGAGGTCTTCCATGACTCAAGTACAACCGACCTGGAAGACCAAGAACACAACCGGGGAACCCAAAGTGAAGACTTGATATTAAAGACCTTATTTAAAGATGGCGGTGAGTCTAAGACACTATTTACCAAGTTAGTTTACGCATTTTAGGCCATTCGTTGTCAAATGCTTACAAACTTATTTGTAAATATGATGAAAAAAGACTTCTATTCCTGTTCCCCATCATCCGACATAATTTACTTTCTGTATACACTGGTACCTCTATTAAGCGGAAACCTTCGGGACTCCTTTCCTGGTGGCCACTAAATAGAGGTTTGTTTTATAGTAAATACAGTACAGTGATACCTCTCTTAAGCGGACACCATTAGTTCACTTAATAGAGGTGTCTGTTGAATAGAGGTTAGTTTTACTGTAATTACGGTGGTACCTCTATTGTCCAGACACCTTCAGGACCTTGCCTGGTGTCTGCTTTTAAAAAAGGGTATCCACTGAAAAGACACTGAATTTTCCCGCAGGTGTCCACAGTGTATTGCGGCATGACGTCATCATGGACTCCGGTAACCCTGACTACACGTTGGTTGAGACAGAAGCAAACCGTGTAGCCAAGCAGGCAGTGATGGCGTTAAAAAAGTCCCGCCAAAAATGTCTTCGGGCAAGCGCTGGTGTTCCTACTTGGACGGGTGTGTCTGGGCTCTCGGGACTGGCAGAGACGGCTGCTAAGCCAAGGTTAGAAGTGTATGGTTTCTTGTGAATTCTCTTCCTTCATCTCTCCATCCATCCTCTTCCTTGCTCCCTCCCTTTTCTTCCTCCCTACCCTTTCTTCCTCCCTCCCCCTTCCTTCCTTCCTCGCCGGTCCTTCCTCCTTCACTTTCGGCCTTCCTTCCTTCCTTCCTTCCTTCCCCTTCCCCTTCCCCTTCCTTCTCTCTTTATTATTCCTCTCCCTCCCTCTATGTACGCCTACCTGCCTCCCGCACTCCCATTTTTCTTCCTTTTTTCCTCTTTTACACTATATCTTTTTTGCGTCCTCACTCACTTTCTTATTTTGATTCAATTTTTAGACCGAAATTTGGGAAACGTAACACGGCTTCAGCTTCACCTAAGGTATGAACACATCCAGTAATTTTTCTTTTATTCATTAATATTACTTTAAAACAATTAGTCTACTCTCCATAAGACAGCACTAGCTCTTGTCTGACCAAGGATGTCTCATTCTCGCTTGGATTAGTGGGGGGAAAATCCAGGAATTTAAAAGTAGTCACCTCCGCCATCTTGACATGGACAGTTCTCCTAAAGCCGACTAAATCAGTAGAAAAAAATTATCGAAAAAATGCTGTTTTTAAATTTTTTTTCTAAAAATTCAACAGCCTCCAAAGAAAAATAAACCCGACGAGCCGTTATTCAGCGGAGCAGTCATGGGTTTGCGAGAAAATAAAGACAGTGAATCCGATTCCGTATCGTCCAATCAGCTCCTCGCAAAAATGCGAGCAAGAAATAATATATTACCCGACGAGGAGGCTGGCACTAGTACCGAGATTGCCGGGACCGAGCATGATGGTTTGTTAGCAGAGGTAACTCAGTTTGTGTTGTCAGGGGCAACCGTACCAGGCCAGGCTACATCGCAGGAAATCGTCGAGCGATTTAAGACACAGCTACCCCAGGAGAATTCCTCGGTTTTTCGTGCAATGCTTCGTCGAATCTGCGATTTTTCTCGAGGGAACGACAAAAGAGGAGTTTGGAAATTGAAAAGTGAATTTTTTTAAAAACTTCCTTCTTTGTATATAGTTTTGTTAAATGTATTACTCAGTCGTATGGAAAAGAAAATATGTACAAGACAAAATGAGTAGGTTATTTACTCCCCTAGATTAAACTCAAAATAAGCCTTCAACCAATATATTATCTTGATTCTCAATGACTCTCCTCAGCAAGAAATCTTGAATGAATCTTTCTCCCTTGGAAGTCTTTCAAAACCTTTGAACAGACTCGAATGGAAAGCTACACAATATGGATTTTCTACGGTTCCTTTTTAAATAGCGAACAACAACTTTTTTATGACTGTTTGTTGTATAATTTCTGAATGAGAAGAAGCCTTGGTGAAAGTGCTTCAACTGAATTTGCTGTTTGTCGAAAATCCAACTAATCAAAACGGCATTTTTTTTACTTAAAGTTCATGATGCTTCCTTTGATTGTCTTTTTTCAAGACTTCGATCAAGACGGCTTTTATGAAAAGCTTTTACGTCTATTGGATTCATGTGCCTCCTCAAAAGGCTAACAAAAAGGCTATTTTTTAATGGAGTTTGAAGTACCGACCAGAGCACGTTAAGTTGCGTGTTGTGTCTCCAGAAAGCTTCCTGTCTCTACAAGTAGGGGGGAATAATCATGTTTGTCAGGTTATTTTGTAGGAAGCTTTTAGCTTTCCGTTTGAGTCGTCATCCGGAGTAAAATAGCTTTCCAAGTAGCAATGCGAACATCTTCAAACTTCAAACAATGAAACAGAGGATTAACAAAGGAGTTGACGAACAATAGCAAAACTCCAATGCTCCACAACTTGAGACTAGGCACAGAAACGCCATTGAATGCAATTACAGCTTGACTCGACAAATAGGGCGTGTAGAACACGATGTATATTGCCAGGATGTACGCTAGAGTGATGACAGATTTTCTGTACCGGGAAATGTTAATTGATGAATGATTAGGTTGTGAAGTCATTTGGCTTTGCATTTGGTTGTGATGGTGTCGCAAGATGTGATATATTTTAAGGTAGCAGTAACCCATCACTAACATGAACAGCAATATCCCTAATGACGTTGCTAAGCTGTACACCATTCGACCAATCAACAAAAGGAGCGCGAACATCAATGATATTACCCAAAATACCATGCAGACGATGACTGTTCTCGTGTTGGTTACCATGGTAACGTAGGTCAGGTGTAGGCGCAGGGCGAGGTATCGGTCCACCGTAGCAGCGGTTACCATAAAGAAAGCAGCCCCACAAAAAAATGAACAGACGGTGTAGGAAAAGTATGCAAAAAAGCATACCAGCTCGTTGGCATGGTGATAGCGTTCCAGAACTTTCCATGCTATGGACAAAGGTATTCCAAGAGAAGAGAGACCAATGTTCGAGACTGCGAGATTACTCATATAGATGTTTTGTGGTGTATGCAGGGAGGTTGAGCGAATGATGGCTACGAGAATGGCTGTATTCAAAATAATAGACGGTACGATTGAAATACTGCTAACAACTATTGCTGCTATGGTGTAAGAAAATACATCATCTGCAAGGTTGTACCATTCCGTGAAATGGCTGCACGAAAAGTTCTCCATTTCAGTCTTTTTGCTTGTTCACTTCCTCCAAAATATCTTTGTTGAGTAAGGATTGGTTGCAATTTAGCCGGGAAAGTGTTACTTGTGGTAATGTCAATTTTCGTCGTCGTCTTCCGCCTTTCAAAATCTCTTCAACTAACAAGAACTAACAACATTTTCATTCCGCCTGGACGAGAAAACATTCCTTGTTATTTTAACGTTCAAATGTTTTCCTCAATATCCTTACCCTCTTTGTAATTTGTCTTTCTCTGCTCAAGATCGAACCAATTCACCTGTACCGTATCACCAGGGAGTTTTCATTCTCGACGCCTTTTTCAATTAGTTTTCCTTCGATATTTCCATTCCAAAGTTAATTTATTATTCTAATACCACTTATTCTCTTCGACTGAGTTTGTCTCGTAGAACATCTACTTTAATAGTAAACAGAGTGAAGCCTCTCTTATCGACTTCTATATTTCATGTTTTCACCTGCAGTAATTCGAAGTGGAGGTGACAGCATGCAATGAATACTTTGAATGATAATGCGCTTTTTCGATACGCTCTATGACAGGTCAGCTCTTTCTAGATAAACAACTCAATGCGAAGCCAAACTGATAGTTCAATGTCTGTTTAACTGAATAAACAGATAAAATCATGCAAAACATATAAATAAGTTTCACCTGCCTGCCAGTACCAAACAAATTATTCCTCTAACTATTAGCCTTCCTAGAAACAAACAAACGAAAAACAATATGACTTCTACGGTCGCGTGCTGGTACATTTAACTACAGAGCACTAAACGTGACTGCTCTTTACTGTTTTGTGTGGTTCTTGTTGATGATAGTAGTAAATGTGAAGATGAGTAGAAGAATGAGAAATATAATCAAGGGAAAATATTAGAGAAAAACACGTTTTTCTGCTCATGCAACTAGAATGATGGAACTAACAAAGTTTACGCATTTTTCTTTCGGAAACTAAATAAGAAACATAATCAAAACCAATTTTCACTTTTTTCTCTTTTTTGAATAGAGAAATTGCGATTCTCATCTGATTCGCCGAGAATGGTGACCCCCATTTTTTATTTCAGATTTTTGATAAATACGATGCTCGTCATTATATATCAAAATATGAAGGAAAGTTTATTGGATAGATTTTGAAATATTTTGATGGGAATAGTTGACATGTGCAATTTTTGGACGTTCGTAGAGGCGCACATACCTGCATTTTTTACTAATAGTTCAAGAATCATAGTCATCCAATGGCTTTGATGGATTTAATAGTATAGATTATCTAGTAAACTTCGAGTTATAAGTATGTTTTGTTATATAAAAGTACTTTTAACTGTGAATAAAGGTTCTTGATTACATCTTCTGGATACTACCGCATTTCACTATAAAACCCATAAATTGACATATTTGGAGACATCTAGCGAAAAAACAAGAATGGTGACCCCATCTTTTTATTGCAGTTTTTAAATGTCCATAACATAATTAATGTCCATGCAAAGTTTCAGGACAAAGTTATTGGCAAAATTTCTTTCAAGGGAATTACCTTAATAACAAATGTAAGTGAAACTTCCTTATTTTAATGACTTGTCGATAGACAACTTATCATTGACCAAGATAAGTTATTCATAATGACTTGTTTTTTTAGCCAGAGGGTCAAGGATATTTGTTCATTGACAGGGCCTTCCAGTTTTAATAGACCTCTTCGGCTCTGACGTAATGTTTTCCCATTTCAGACCACATGTCATTGCCTAGAGTATCATTTCTTTGTTTAAGGTTTGCGCACGGTTGCACATGAGAAGACACATGAATATGGATACAGCTCAAACAAAGAATCTTATTCTCAAGGGAATGACACGTGGTCTGAAATGGGAAAACATTACCCCAAGCCGAAGAGGTCTATTAGGAAGTACTTTTTGTAGTAAACAACAGCTGTAAATCTACTGTACTTTCCCAGTAAAAACAGGTTTTGGTCATGTACAATTTTGTACATGCGTTCTGGAATAGGGCAGGGTTGTTTACTGTACAAACAATCACTTCCGAATCCTTCTTCTGATCTCTTGTTTAGAATTATCTCATTCGTAACTTTAAGTATTTTTCATTATAATCTGTTCTCTACTAGTCAACCTAGCGAGCACCATCGACCGAATTGCTGGGTCAGGTCTTAGAACTGAGTGCTCGTACTTTTTCCTTAAGTCACCTGTCTCAAGCTCTTACGTCATACCTGGCTTAACTGGTTCAATCTAGTTTGACCTAGTACAAACCGGTTATGTGACGTAGTACTCTAGTACTTAGTTGCAGTTATCTTCAGTGAGTTGTCGTTAGTCTTCAGAGGATCTTACAGTCAGCAACCTCTACTTTGTACAAGACAAGCAAATAAACTTATAGCGTATGGTCTAGAGGATGGTCTAGAGGAAATCCATGTGTCCGTAGGGAAAATATCACTCCCCGCTTCTCACGTGACATGATTGTGGTGGCTTTTTTTTTTTTTTGYTTTTTTTTTTTTTTTTTTTTTTTTTTTTTTTTTTTTTTTTTTTTTTTTATAATTTTTAAGATTTTTGTTTTGTCTTCTTTTTTGTTTTTGCCACCACTGCAATCCAACGGCGAAAAAAAAATTTAATCAGAATAAATATCAGAACAAGACTGACTAAGATTACAGCCATTCTCAAACACACGCGCCCTCTAGCGATTGTTTCTGTCGCGACGAAGAAGGTTTTGGTGGGAGTCAATCACAAGGCGTTTCCATATAACATTGTCGGAAAACACAAAGCTATAAGGGCACGTGCCTATAGAGTGTCATGGAAACGCCTTGATTGACGTCCAGCAAAAGCTTCTTCGCGACAGAAACAATCGCTAGATCGGCGCGTGTGATTGAGAATGGCTGTAAAGGATCCTGAATATACTGCAGGACTGAGGTCTTGACATTGGTTTTGTTTTGTTTTTTTTCGTTTTTTTTGTTTTGTTTTTTTTCCCAATATAAATAGCAAAGTATTTTCTTACATTTTGCTTTGGGAAAGAAAACTGAAGCGTTCGTGCTCTGAGCATCTTCAAAGTAATGAAATTAGAATTTCATTTTTCACTGACTAGAATTTCTATTATTTATACGTAAATTGAGCTTCAAGTCGTTTTCCTTTCCTCATGATTCATTACCTGCTCGATTATTTAATTCTGTTTTTCTTTCTTCAGTGACAAGTGAATGGCATATGGCTAAACAATCGTTTTTCAATAAAAAATATAATACCCTTCCTCATGAAGCAGAATATAATATTTTCCTTTCATAGCAGAAAGATTTCAAGTGCTTGTTCATCCTACGCTCGAAAAACCGCATATCCACTTTCAATTCATATTTTTATTATTTATATATATTAGGACCACAAGAATAAAGGCTTGAGCTGTAAACGAATTATCCAACCACAAATTCAGTTTTCAATTACCTCTCATAATGAAGAGGAAAATTGCATTTATCATTGCGTTTGTTACCCATTTCAATCCATTTCCGAACTTTTAAAAGGTCTTCTCGAAAAGGAGGTTTCGTTCTAATTCCATGGTGACTCTACACCTGATGGTGATATAGCTCTACACCTGTCGTCTCAGATCATACAGAACGCCACGTAAGCCGGTGAAGCAAACGTTTCATGCCGGTCCACATGGGTGCTAACTCGAGTTGTTTCCACTTCACCGACTGGTTAGCGCTTGGAACGGTGTCCAGGCCTCTGTACGCTACCATGATGGCGATAAATTGCATCACGATTATCCCTGCTATTTTACTGAATGCGTTAATCGTTGTCACAATTTTTAAGACGCAATCTCTGAGGGCATCACCAAGTATGGTTATCATTTGCAACATCGCCTTGTCTGACCTGGTAGTTGGAATACTCGCACAGCCAATCTTTATCGCCTGGATTACACTCGAGTATTTCGATAAAACTGGTTGTAATTGTGCTTTAGCAGTATCCTTTGGCCTCTCATCTACTTTATTTGCTGGTGTTTCGCTGTTAAATGTGACTACATCGAGTGTAGATCGTTATCTTGCTCTCTACTTTCATCTGCGTTACCTTACCATCGTCACAACCCGGAGAGCTTGCATTACGTGTGCTGTCCATTGGCTGGGTGGTGCTGTTATATCTTTCAGCTGGATTCCTTTTGGTTTTATTATTTATAGTTACATTATAGCTACCTCAATGGCAGTGTGTATACTTATTACCATATTTTGCTACACTCTCGTTTTCAAGACCCTCAGACGACACCAGCGTCAAATTGATACTCAAATGATGAGTAATTGCAACGGGGACACTACTCTACCCACGAACAATGTCCAGAACTTCAAACGCTTTAAGAAATCTGTTTTCATCGCGTTGAGCATCTTTGGTGCTTTTCTGTGGTGCTACCTACCTTGTTTGTGTACTCTTGTCTCCATAGCAATGAAAGGATACTCCCTTTCACTTGTGATAGCTCTGAAGTTTTCGGTGACTGTGGTTTTCATAAATTCAGCTCTGAATCCTCTGTTGTTTCTGTGGAAAGTTTCTGATCTTCGTCTAGCACTTCTTAACATTTTCTCAAAGTTGTTTCATTAAAACAAACCCTCCCCTCCCCTCCCCTCCCGCAATAAACGTTACTGTTTAATTGGAATTCGGGACGTTCTGAGGGGCTGTCGATGGCGGCCATATTGGATTACCGAAACGGCCTACAATCACATGTCGAATTCGTTCCTTTTAAATTTTAAAATTCTATCAAAAATTATTCATTAGTTCGATGGAAGAAAAACCAATTTGATTCAATCTTAAGATAATCAGTTAAATTGCCCTCTTCATTCTTGAAATGAGACAGAGAGAAAGCACCAGTTTGAATGATCTGTTCGGCCGTGTCAAGAAATGTTTACAAAATCAGCCTGAAAATCATGATTTTTTATTTTATCAAAGTAACCTTGTCCAAAAATCTCATTTCAAGTGACGTAATCTTAAAACCAAATTGGGAATTATGTTCGTTATTTTGTGGATCAAACAGAATTTTTTGGGAAAAAATAAAAATCTTCCTTTCTGTTTGTATAATACGCTTCAAGCTCTTCTTCTCTGACTTCTTTAACACTGTCACCTGCTTAAATAAGTCAACGAACAGGAATGATGTTGACTCATTCCTCAAAACCTATACATTGCCTTGTAAGATGTAGTTACAAATCGCATCTGTTCAATAAATTTTGACAATCATCATCTCACTCAATACCAGCAAATTATTCAAATTTACTAGGAGTATATACTTTTCATATCGAGTTTTGACGAAGTTAGACGTCCTGTCGCCTGGCTTCAGCCATTCGCATTTCAAGCCTCAAGTTCCTCTTTGACTGAAATTTAAGCTCAAACAAACGATAGTTTATGAGCCCGAGGGAAAAAAATCAGAAAGCTTTGTTCTTAGACCTTTTCGCGGCAGCGGTTAGATAAATATTCAGAAAGTGGTGTGGTCTGACTGGACTGACCGAAGCAAAAAGCAAAGGGCCAAGTTGTTTGAAGCGTAAGTATTGGAAAGAACAATGTTCTATAATTTTACGTTATTCACAAATACAGACCGGCTGAATTTGGAAGAAACTCTTCTGACGCGTTAAATGATTGCATTTCTTTGTCATTCAAGGGGCTTCCATGTCCTGTGCCCTTTATCGTTGAAATTCCTATTCCGGTAAAATCATTTAGAAATGTCGGAAAACGACAAAGAAAGACGGCCACTTTTTTTATAGTTTTTAAGAAAGTGGGATTTTTCTAAGTTCCAGAATTTTAAATTTCTGATACCAGCTGCGGTGTATTGAAATAGTAGTCGTTTCTCAGTTTACTAAGCGAAATTGTACCCGACAAAGATAAAAATCTCAAATCTGTTTTAGCTTCTGTTAGCGTAAAATTGAAACCGTTTTCACCTCAAAAAGGAGACTGTAAAATTTCCTAATAAACAGGATATTTTTGGTTTTTCTTTCGTTTGATTGTTAAAGATTTGACGTGTTTGTCCGACAACTAATACCAAAAGGTATTCTTGAAATCATGAAGGCTAGAATTTTTTTCAAAAGATTCAAAATTCTAATTTTTAAAACACAAGACAAAGAGAGTGATTTAGACTTTTAACGATAGCGATATCCAATAAAACGAATATTTTTATTTTATATTTTTGTTTTACTCATTCATTAATTTTTTAAATACTTTTTTGGCTTCGTAGCTGCAATTTTAAGTCAACTGACATATGAATACAAGTTTTGCTATCTGCTTTGACATTTATATCCAGTGTTAGTAAAAAGAAAACAAAGCATGATAAAACATGGAAAGGATCTAAATACCCAAATCTCTGGTACTGATCACAAACTCAATGTTAGCCGGTTATAAAGTTTTAACATTGTCCCTGAACTCATTGTCTATAATCTTTAATTTTGATCCTCGCGTATAACATTTCTCCCTCAATTCGTTTGAAGTGTCAATAGTCTTTATCCCTCTGCTTGTGTACTTTAGAAAACTTGAAAAACAATACAAAAAGGATGCAGAAAAACGTCTTGGTTTTCAGTCGTATTGAGAATTCGAAACTTTAATCGTATCTGAAATACAGACAGCATGCTTTTGGAACAGCAGCTAGTTTTGATTTTTCTAAATTTACTTTCGTCGCGGTTCTAATCTAACACGATGATGTTAGATGTCATTTATTGGGTAAGCTTAGTTATTTAATCTCGTAGTTTACTTAAGAAAAAATTAAACTTCAAAAAAATTGAAAAAGAGTGAAAATGAACGAATATCACTTTAGCGAAATAATTAGGATTTTTATTAAAGATGTGCCCAGCAGTCAACATAGAATCGTAATGAAATAATCTTGAAGATAATTTTGTTTTTTATTTGGCCAACTGATCATTTGTTAGAATTCTATTCGTGGCAGATGATAATTTCCATAAAGAAAGGTTTTTAAATTCAATAGTATTTTTACTTAGTCTCGACAAATTGCACTATTAATGAAAATTTCCCGGCTTGTAAAAATCAAAAGATTCATTTAATTTACGTTGGTGAACATATTTTTCGACATGATTGGCCATGGAACCATTACAATATGATATGTCTGAATCCATATTTGAAAGAGACGAGCAGGTTTTCAGTCTTATCAACGACCTGTTCGACTTTGCATAGCTATAGTGAAGGATCTTTTAGGCTTCGGAAAATTATCAGTTAGCCTAGTTGACTCAAAGCAAAAACTTCTCAATCAAGAATTTGGACGATCAAATCAACTCATGGTAGAGTAAAACCAAGCCTCGCTTTAAAGCCTGACTTTCACGAGCGACGCAAGCACAAGCGCAAGCACAAGGATCAAAATTTTTCCTTTTCGTTGTGCTTGCGCTTATGTATGCGTGGACAGTTTTCGCGATGAAATATGGCCTCTTATGCTTGCGCTTGTGCTTGCGCTTGTGCTTGCGTCGCTCGTGAAAATCAAGCTTAAATCAATCCACTACAAAGCGTTTTGCAATGCGTTTCAAAGCATGGTATGAACCTTTTACACTGAGTCCCAAGAGGAATTCTTTTGGGGAACAAAACWTTTTTTTTTTTTTTTTTTTTTTTTTGTGCATAAGAAAAGACGGCCTATTGTTTTGTCCCCAGAACAATTTCCCTAGGAAATCAATGCAAGAGGTCCATAGTCCTTTTCACAGTTTCCTGCGCCATCTTGAAAGGTAACCGTGCCTGTGCATCGACGCGAAAACGATGGTGACCTTGCAATGATAGAGACGTGTGAATAATCATCCAAGATAATAAATTATACTTATTCATAGGTCTCACAATTGAGTGTCGTGTAGGGTCACGGTCCTTCAGGCTACAAACGACAATCAATCGTGAGACAAATGAATAAGTATTATTTATTACAATTTCCACGATGAATAATATTTTCATTCTTACAACCAAGCTGTTTAAAAGGTCTCCGTCATTGCATCGATTCGATGGGGAACTGTGAAGGGGACAATTAAATTGCGCACGAACGTAGAGCAATCGCTGAATTTCCTTCCTCTTTTCCAGACCTTTCTTTAGCAATTTTTTATAATTTTAATAGTGGTCTCAATCAGTAAGAAAAGTCAAACGGTAATCTTGTAAATTCCCTAAATTTGTAAGTAAAACTTGCCTTCGGAGTTTACGGGGGACGACAAAGGACTGCGTTTGACTTGGCATCACAAAGTCGAGTGATTATAGTGTTAAAAATCATTTAGTTCACTGCCCTCTGGGGGCTTAGTTTACCTAATGCACCTAATGACATAACTCTAATGCACTCTCATGCATGTATGTCCATCATACTGACTCCCTACTGACCCCCTGGGGGCCAACTTTGTCTAATGCACTCTAGAGGTATTATGTGTCCATCATACTTACGCACTACTCCTGAGGGTCAACTTTGTCTGATGCACTCTAGAGGTATTATGTGTCCATC